TTTTTTCTTTTTTGTTTTTATTTTCATTTCAAACGTGCTAATTATTCAGCGGTCTTGCACGTACTAATCGATCTTGCATGTGGGGGATCCGAGCGAATTTTCGCAAGTTTGCGAGTATATTCACAAGTGGATGGACGACCGAGAGAGCTAGCCCGACGCGATTTGAAAGGTAGGCAATGCCTCTGATGGGTTACAGAGACAGCGGAGGACATTTCGCCGTACGCTACGTTCCAGCTTTCGGAGGGTGGCGGGGGAAGCCTGGCAGGGTTGGGCGCATTGGGAGGACTGGGAGGCGCGGCGGAGGCGTCAGCGGCCGGGCTGCATCCGAACAACACTCTTCTGCACAGCTTCATGTATCACGAGCACGCCATGACCGAGGGATGCGCGAGCCCTCCACCGGCGGCGACGGTATTTACCGAATGTCCCATTTTCTCTCCCGAGTAATCATTATCGGTCGCTCTTCGAGTATTGCGAATTCGTGAATTGCATGGAATTCGAAATGTTAACGTGGAATATAATTTTTACACAAATAATCCCCTTCATTGGAACGTCCTCGATCGAAAGAAGCTTGAGGATTGGATAGAATAATGACGAGGGTCTCGGGATAAATTGTGGTCGTCGTAAATTGCGGTCAGCGTAAAGATGTGATTTGCGCAGAGCATGAAGAGCGTCTCGTCGAGAAGGCGACAGCAGAGAAAGCAGCAAACCCCGGGCGATGTCGAGAGCGACGAGAGCGAGTCTGACCCGGACCAACTGATCAGCTCCCGCACGGAGTCGTCGAATCAACTGGACGCTGGCAAATTAAAACATAGTGCGTTTCGCACCTATGACTCTCCCTACAATTCCCTCGCCTCGCAAGGATACGCCTTCAAAAGTGTACGAATCTCTTTTACAGTTCGCGCAGTCTCGGACTTTATCTATCACGGCACGTCGAGCACCTCTTCGGACATCTCTCCCATGTCGGAGCAGAAGTCGCTGCCGCGAAGGGGGCGGTCCAGGTAATGTCTGACAGAATGGACGAGCATAGAACTCACCCTTCCTCCCTCCCTCCCTCCCTATGTGGCCTCTCGGAGTATTTTTCACGCGGTGCCGAAGAAATCGTTCGAGAGAGAAATATTTTCGAGCGGTCGCAAGAAACCGTTCCGTCGTACTCGAGACTACACTTCCCAGAGCCACCATTTCCTCAAAGCCAAAGTCTCCCTCGTCAGAAGACACCCTCGCTCTCGCAATTGCCGCCTAGTAAGTTTCTCGTTTGTTTCTCTTGGCTCGTAAGATGGCACGTTCCCAGCAGGAGCTCTCTACGCACGCTACTGCCGCCGATCTCGGTCGCGGAGACCGCGTTCGTCAGCGGCAATCAGGGAACCGTGGTGCCCACGCCGGGGAACGGCGATCGGCCGGAGCTCAGCGAGGCCGAGTGCGACATCGATTCCCTGAAGAAGCTGAAGCTGGGCCTGAGGAGCTCCCTGTGGTCGCGACCGAGCGCTCAGAATAATCCCTCCTCGGATTACTCTATCGCCGTTTAATCTGCCCTCCCCATTCACCCTCTACCCCGTCCATTCCCCTCTCCCCCCACCCTGTCTCCCTGTACACGCGATATCGCTTTCCCACGATATATACAGCCCCCATCCTCTATTCTCCTTGTCGTAACCCCCGCGGGCCAAAGATTAGGTAAAATTGATCTAACCCTTCGTGTCTCGTCAAAGATCCCCTCGTGGCCGCGTAGGGCCACTCGACTGCCACGGCCACGTCTCTGTCGACGATAGGTAAATCTTGCGTTCTACTCGTTCACGGCGATCGATAAGAAGAGACATGTGTAGATCAGATCAAGAGGAGAATCAGATCGAAAGAACGAGGGTGGACGCGCGAGCAAGGGAGGACAAGGTCGAGCCGATAGAAAGAGAGAAAACCGACCGCTTACAGGTTACTTCAGGTTGTCACCATATGGGAACTCCTCGAGTCTCGGGATCTTCAAACGGAAGTCTTTAGCCATCCTCTCCATTCGTAAGCCATAAGTCTCAGATTGTTGTCCTTCTTAAACGCGAGCGCGTCGCCCCGTCGATCGATGTCGAGAGAGCTAGTCGAAAGTATCTAAGAAACGTACGACGTCTGTCTCCTCTTCCTTGCTGCGCGAGACGCGATGCGACGTTGCGCTACGCGTCGCGAGATATAATACACGTGCGTGGAGTGCGTGAGTGCGTGAATGTGAGTCCCGAGCGAGTGCGTGGATGATCGTCGAATCGCGCGTGCGAATGCGTGCCAAAACGACAATTTGCTCAGACCTGCTGCGAATCGTTCGCCGGCGGGCGATCCATTCGAGACCAAAGACTTAATCGTACGAACAGAGCACGGGAGAGTCCTTCGCGTATGACGAATAGAGAAGGTGGCAGGCTGCGTCCCCGCCTACGCTGCGGGGCCCCGCTCGTTACCCCGAGAGAGACCCTCTTCACATCCGCCGCGTCGACTTCTCGTTGTTACGCTTTGCGCGCATCCGTCTTACTTATCATAACTTTCCACGGTAATATTATTCCAATTTATGCAATTCCGATTTCGCAAATTTACTCTAATTTCATAAATTCGTTGGGACTTCCAAGGAAAATTTTCCAGGAGAGACATCAGTCGTCGGGAGAGTTGCGTTCTTAACTCTCGCAAGAACCTGTTCAGCTTGAAAAGTCGATCATTGTCTCGATTTCTCTCGAGTCGCGTTAAACTTTAATTCGTTCCATCTCTCTCTCTCTCTCTCTCTCTCTCTCTCTCTCTCTCTCTCTCTCTCTCTCTCTCTCTCTCTCTCTCGGGAAAGAGAAAAGAATATCCACTCTATACCTTGCCAAAAGAGTACTCCGCGAATGTAACGAAGCAGCTGGAAAGCCACCTTGTGAATATCACACTCGTCTGTGTTCGGATTGTGCATGCATGCTGTCAGGATCAGGACGAGATTACGTAGGAAGCGATCGGAAGAGAGAAAAGAAAGCAGAAGACTTCGTCTCGTTGATGGTTGGGCTCTGTTGCGTTGTAAAGTTTATATATACGTACGAATAACACCGTTGATTACTTTAAGCCCGTTATTAATCCTAAGACTTCTATGTAGAGTGTTTTCCGTGCATGGAGCGAGACGATCGAGAAGGAGAGTCGAGCGCGAAGCATGTTCCGTAATGCAAGCTCGTTTCCTGCTCTGTAAATTTAAGAGGAGGACCTGACCGCCGGGTTCCCCTCCCCCTCTCTCTCACTCTCTCTCTCTTTCTCCTTTCTATCTCTCTTTCTCTTTCTCTCACTCTCTCACTCTCATCTCAAATCTCTCTCTCTCTCTCTCTCTCTCTCTCTCTCTTTCTCTCTCTCTTCTAATGTCGCGCACTTCGACACTTCGTGAACCGACGCGACCAATCAATACAATATTATATTACGATAAGTTGTTGCACGTGCCAGCGAGACTCCGACTCTTCAGACTGAAATCGAAAGTACCGTAAAATCGCCGATAGAATTAATCGAACGCGCGTATCCTACTACGCCGTGAGCTTCCAATAACTTCCACGACACTGCCATAACCGCAGACTATTTGCGACTATTTACTGCCGTACGGAAAGGGGGCACTACATTATAGTCGAGGCCGCTTTACGTACCCCTCCGAGCGAAGAGCGAAAGAGAACAACAACAAAAAAGGAACAATGCGAAGAAAAAGAAACCATTTTTGTAACTTTTACCGAGTTCGAAGTGATGCGAGTTTTGAAGTGCAACCGTTCGACATACACATATATTCCCACACACATACACACACACGCGCACACACACACACACACACACACACACACATACATACACCCCCTTTTTCTCCCGCCGACGAACGCGTCACTCTGAATAGTTAAGTACATTATACGATGTTTTATATATCTCCGAAATCTGTGATGGCGCGCACAAGTACTTCCACTTTCCCGGTTTGTTTGAGCGCGAAAGAGACCGTGTACCACCCTCGACGTGCCACACGACAATTCACGATTTTGGCGAGAGAGAAATTCAGACGGGGTCGGAAAAGTAAGTTCGTTTGTCGAGCGACAACGTCGAGCGCGAAATTTTCGCAGAGCGGCGATGAAGGCGAGAACGAAGACGACGATGACGACGACGATGACGACGACAACGACGACGACAGCGACGACGATGAAAATCGAGGCGAGCCGTGTGCGCGACACTACGAAGACGAGGCCATAGGTATACGTACGTGAATACACATATATTTGAGTACACGGACATCAAGTCGCGTGCATACACAGCGGATGTACGACGCATACGTTAATGTATATAAGGGAAGCACATCAATCAAACTCGTAGTGTTCGATTAATTTGATAGAGCGAGACCACCAGCCCCTCCCCCTCCCCCCATCTGGTGGGGGAGAGAGATGCGTGTGGAGACGGCGTGCGATGAGGTGCGATTCGTCGCGCGGCGCGTTTGCCGGGCACTTTCCGTTGACGCAGGATTTTTCTATATTTTTCCCTCAGTCGTTTCTCTTGCGTCACGGACCGACCGAGTTCTGTCAGTCTCTCGTCGTGACCTTTCCCAGCGGGACCAGTCGCTCTTTGCTGCCGGTAATAATAATCGCGAGTGGACAAAATTTCTCAACGGTACGTACCAACGATCTCTCGAACGACCACCGATCAACGAATTTCTTACACACAAACGCACACACATACATAGACGCACACGTACACACGAGACTCGCGCGATTCTTTACGAGAGCAATCCGGGCTGAATCGTTGCACTACCTGCCCACTCTCCCCCCCCTCCCTCCCCCCCCCCGTTTGTCCGATCTCGTTCATTCGAGCGACACGTCAGTCTCTCTCGCATCTCTCGTCGCGAGCACGACGTAACTTTTTGATCCTTTTTACACCGTACCTTTACGTTACACCGCGAATCATTATACGGTCCTCGAATGAGATGATGCAGTGACATAACTCGGTGCATCCTCTCGCCCCACCCCCTCCCGCCCCGCGGATAATCCGCGCAGCGCTTCGAGAACGTCGCGCTTCGATTGCCGCGTCGACGCGCGTCGACGACACGTGAGTGAGCCAATCAAACGGACAATTGTTATTGTAAAACTACGATTAACGTCGTTGGAAAAGGAGAAAAGAGAAGAAAAAGAAGAAGAAGAAGAAGAAGAAGAAGAAGAGGAGGAGGAGGAAGGAAGAAGCGCAGCGGCGCGAAACGGTCCAGTCGTGGCGCGAGGTCACACACCGCGAGCTCCGAACGATAATCGAACTGCTGCTCGCGGACTTCCTCCCCGTTCTCCCGCGAGCGGGGAGGGGTGTTGTACGATTAAACGAATTGTGCGATTAAATTTAAACTGTATTAAATCTGTGGTACGGCGTTTCGATGCATTGTGTCGATCGTAGAATCGATTAAATAAATTGATATCGTGTAAGGTAAAGATCCGGCTGGATTCACTCTGGACGACCCTCGGCTACGCTCGACGAACACACATCTGCGGGCGAACGTGCCTCGCTCCTGATAATCTCCGGGCGGAACGTTCGGCATACACGAAGATCCATTCAGTATCCCGTCAGTTCCGAGAACGTGGAGTCCAGGTCGTCGCAAATGTACTTGTACTTCTCCTTCTCCTTCAGCAGGTAATCTGGAACGTCATCGGGACATCGGGTTAACACGTGACCTGCCACGTTGGGTTCCACTGCATTGTCTCAAAACTCTGAGTCTGAGTCAGCAGATACGAGACGAACGAACGCAATTCGTCGGTGGTCTCGTCAGCCGGTTCCCTGAATCGGCTGTGTATTGAATTTTTTATACGCAGTTGGTTACGCTTCACACGTGAATCGATCAATGCAGGCAGGATATTATAACGCCGATCACTAGTGATCGTGACAGTCAACGCGTCGAGAATTCGATTCGTTTGTGCTGGACTTGCAAGAATTGGAATTACTGCGAAAACACACGAACGAGAAAAATGTTACCTTCTCTCTTGTCTAACTCTTTCGCGAAGATTTTGACAGTTTTCTCGGCGAATATGGCACGCTTCTCGGCGACTTTCAGCTTCACCTTCAGCTCCTTCAGCTGCGCCTTGAACTCCTCCACCCTTTGATTAGCCTGCGGTGGTTTGGTTATTTTCCATTAACCTAATTTTGGAGGTGCAGATGCAGAGCATCGCGAAGTTTACGAACGGACTCTTACCTTTTCCTCGGATACCTCCAAAGACTTCAAGATATTCCCGACGATAAATAGCTCGTCCTCCCGTTCGATGATTTTCCTGAAACACAAACGACCGCGTGTTGACTTTTCGCTCGGTCTCCGATTTCAGTTTGAATGCTTCTACCATAATGCAAACGTTACGGAAAGAAAAAGAAAGTACGAAACGAATAAGTGCGCCTTCCGCAACGGCGCAGGACCTTTGGAAAGTGGGATACATCGTGAAGCGTTCCCGACACAAACTGAGAATAGATAGAGGTAGGATTCAGCGGAAAAGAACGCAGCCGCTCTATTTTTAGGGAATCGCGCTCGCGCGATACGTACGCCTCGCTCGATTTAACCCTTTCCTCCGCCGCCTCGAGCTCGTCCTCGACGAACGCCAATTTTCTCGATATCTCGTCCGACTTCGTGTCCGCGTCCTCGGCGATGAGCCTCGCTTCCTTCAACTGCGCCGTCAATTGGTCCATCCGCTCCTCGTCCTGCTTGCTCCTGTTCTCCAAGACCTTGCAGATGCTGAGTAAGAAGAATCTCACTTTACGTTTATGACCCTCGTAACCTTTCTCACGAGGGTAGTGACGATGTCACGCGTCAGCGAAAACGCAAGCCCCGTAACTCTAAAATGTTCGTGCGGCGCAGACGCCGTTAAAATAACTACTGCAGCTACATGATGAAACGAGAGCCCGTGTAGCGGTCGGAATCGAGGTCGTGAAAAACACGCGGTTTTAGGAAAAACTTTTCGGCATAGTTACGCGAAAGCGAAAGCAAACGGTCGTTACCGTTTCGCGTCCTCCGCGGTTTCCATGGCCTGCGCGAGCTTCGCCTGGGCCGACAAACGCCGCTCCTCGGACTTCTCCAGGTTCTGCATGGACTGCTGCATTTTTCTATTCAGCACCGCCAGTTCCGACTGTGTCTGCAATTACACATCAGTAATTGCTACTCGTAAGTAACCAAGTATTTACAAAACTCCTCTTCTAAGAAACTTCTACTTAAGTTCTAAAAAAAAATTTACTTAACACATAAGTAGTAAAAAGTATTCTTTTTTTAACGCGCCATTCGGGAAAGGTGCATTCAAGCTAATATATCACTTTAAAAAAATATTAAAAAATAAAAGCTTTACGCAATACGTAGCTGAATTTCATTTAATTTGATTTACTTCAAAATGGGTTTCATTTAACTTGTTCATTTCTAACGTTCAAACGTTCTTCATTTGTAAATACTTGACTATTTATGAACACCCCTAACGCGATCGGTTCAAAAGCGAGAAAAACGTATCTGGTTTTTCTCGTTCCTTGGTTATTCGTATCCAAATAATCAGTTCGAAGGCGCGAAGGAGGTAGACTCTTTCGATTTACACACCACGATGTAGACCCTCTCCTTCATCTCAAGATCCCTGTTCGACTTGATCAGCTGGGCCTTGCTCACTTCCAGATCGTGCTCCATTTGCAGCAGCTTCTTCGCCAATTCGCGCACCTCGTCCCTCAGCTTCTCCTCCCGGCGATTCGCCTCCTTCGCTTGCTGATCGCACAGATCAGCTTTGTCCATCGCCAGATCCTTCTCGAGCTTCAATGTTTGCAGCCGCTTCTTGATGGCGTTCATAGTTGCTTGATCGAAGGCTGATTCCTGCGCGTGTGTCCTTTATGTTGAAACCGAATTGAGTCGATGAGTCGACTCGAAAGTTGACTTCTCAACGGCTGTTCCTCCGGTATAATAATTCGATTCGAGTTTTATTTTCGCTTTCAGTTTTTTATCCAGCGCAAATGTCCGGTCGAGAGTGCTCCTTGAAGCGACGCACGTGAAACACTTTCACTTGAAAATCTCTTCGTCGCGTGCACTGAAGGAGAAAAGGACTTTCGACTTGAATCAACAGTCGAAATTTGCAATTACCGGATAGAGGCGGGCGAAGTGTCAAATGCAACGCTCACGGGTTACTGTACTCGGTGACCGATGAGAACAATGCTTTATAGGCTCGGCGAGAAATGCAAAAGGACAAAAGCGAGCGTTGCTTTAGTTAGACTCAAACGAATTCTCGGACTTCTTAAAACGCCGAGGCACTTTATTGTGTCGCCAACCGTTGTCGATCGCACGTCGATCGGTCGATCGGGCATTTGCTCGACATGCCGATTATTTCAAAAGCTATCGACACCTCGAGATATATTCATTTCGTAAAATCACAAAACAACATGCGGTAAAATATGATAAAATATGATAACAGTAATAACAATGTCCCCGGGCTATTCTTTCTATCGACTTTGTTACTTATTGAAATTGATAAGACTATAAACGAGATAATCAATAATAATATGCGTCTTTCACATTTCAAAAATTCGTTTAAATAAAGCTTTTTAAATAAAGCCAATGACTAATAAGTAAAATTATCGATAACTTGAGAAGATATATTATAATTTAGTGTCCTAAATATATAATAACTTTAAACGTTACTTTTTAGTTGAATAACACTAAAATATAAGTCGTTTAGCGATGTTCGTTTCCTCTTCTATTCGAATAAATATTAGAATTAAATATTAATTTATCAAATGTCGAATAGTAAATGTGCCGTACATGATATAGAAAACTCTCTATTGAAACGAAAACTAAACATTCTCTAATTGCTCTTCCTTTGTTCATTACGTATATTATTCATCTTTGAACATTTTCTTGATCAGCCTACCATCGTCAGCGACGATAATTGGAATGGAGTATCAGGATAAAAAGTCACAGGATAGAATTCGCATGATGTCATTTATTGAAAATACAGATTTCACATAGAACGATAAAAAGTTCGCGTGATGTCGTGAAGACGTAATACGCGCGCAATGGACGACAGCGTCCCTCCGACGGCTCTGAAAAAAGAGAGAAACAAACGAGATCGTCAGTGCGCTCGATCGACAAGGAGCGATTGATAGCACGAGCGACCATGAACCAGTTGCGCCACACTGGGCCGCCGCTCTTGGCAAGGTGTTAAACAAAACGAGGCGATTATAGCAAGCGGACGAGGTGCATATCAGCGTGTCCGTCAGTCGCGTTACTGCGCGGCCCGCGCGAAGCGGGTTATTTCTACTGGCGCTTATGAAGGCACTTCGCGGCGAACGCATGGTGGCACAGCACAGCAGCCTAAGCACGCGTAGATATACAGATAGCGAATAAGCGGAGGAGCGAAGCGAGGAATCAAGCAGCGAGGAAGAATCCTAGGACTCTAATATCCCGTCATCTCGGCGAACGTCGCGTCCATGTCGTCGCAGACCGCCTTGTACTTCTCCTTCTCTTCTCTGAGCTCGTCTGAAAGCGACAGAGATTGAAGCGTCAATGTATCGCACGAAGATCGTTTCCTCTTCGGGTGTCTCTTCGGGTCGATTAATACGTTGAATACAAACGAGGATGTGAAGCAAGCAGGATAAAATTCTTTCACTCGTTTCGCTCAGCAACAGCGCTCAAACACCGCGCTCTGTTACCGATCTCTCCTCTTTTGCACGCAATAGACTATGATAGAAGAAATTCTCTTTCTCCCACCTTCCTTCATGTCCACCTCCTTCAGCAACGCCTTCACCGTCCTCTCGGCCGTGATCGCGCGCTTTTCCGCCTCCTTCAGCTTCTTCTTCAGTAACTTTAACTGCACTTTGAAATCCTCCACTCGTTGATTTGCCTGAAATCACACCGATTGCTATGCGTATCGCGTAATGAACAGTGATGCAAGTACAGGTGTTTATAATTTGACGATTACCTTCTCTTCGGATACTTCAAGGGACTTGACGATGTTCTGCACGATGAAAAGCTCGTCTTCGCGCTCCACGATTTTACTGCAAAGAGACATACTTTTTTTTTTTTCTTTTTTTCTTTTATTGAAATAAACTTGTCGCGCGAATCTCGAACACGAAGCGGAACCGTATACGTACGCCTCGCTGGTCTTCACCCGCTCCTCCGCGGCCTCCAGTTCTTCCTCGACGAACTGCAGCTTCCTGGAGATCTCGTCGGACTTGGCGTCGGCGTCCTCGGCGATCAGTCTCGCGTCTTTCAGCTCCGACATGAGCTTCTCCATGCGCTCCTCGTCCAGACGACTCCTGTCCGCCAAGACGTTGCACATTCTACAACGTGAGAGAAACGCACGATGCAGACTTTCCGCTCTGTTCGTTGCAACACGAAATGCCGTTTGCAAAAGTTAATTCTCGTCGCGATTATTAACGTCGATATTAATTCATGAACCTTTGCGCATCGTCCGCGAGCTCGGTCGCGCGTGCCAGCTTTTGTTGCGCGGAGAGACGAAGCTCCTCTTTCTTGTGTAGACTCGCCTCGATCTCCTGCACCCTCTTCGTCAGGACAGTCCGATCTTGCTCCGCCTGTTGGCGTGTGACACACGCAAGCGAGAATGTAATACGATTCCTTATAGGAAATTCACGAGCTCGATATGACGATAGAGTTAATAATTTGAGCCTTCGGCATACCGTCAGAATCTCTCTCTCTCCCTCTCTCTCTCTCTCTCTCTCTCTCTCTCTCTCTCTCTCCTCTCTCTCTCTCTCCTCTCTCTCTCTCTCTCTCTCTCTCTCTCTAGAACCTAAGTTTAACTCTCGACTTCCTATCTCGAGGAACTTCAATCATTCGTGAAAACTGATTCTTCGCGACTTTTAATCTTTCCTCAAAGTTTCTCAGAGGGCAGAGAGAAAGTTTATCTTTTTGAAACAAATCACGAGCAACATTAAACGCAGTAGTCCTAATTATATTAATATTAATCGTTTAAATTAATTAATACCACCGAGAGGCGAATACCAAAGATTAAAATGTTGATGATCTGATCGGCTTATCGCCATATCAGTGACGGGAATCATCGATACGCACTCTGGACCAGGATTTCTCACATTGCTCCAGATCGGCGGTGGATTGCTCCAGTTGTGCCTTGCTGACAGTGTAATCGCGCTCCAACTGGGCCAATCGCTTCTGCAAGTCCCTGAGGTCGTCGTTGAGCCTGTCGGCTCTTACGTTCTCCTGCTTCGCCTTCGTCTCGTTCACTTCGACCTTCTCATTCGCGGCGTCCATCTCCAGCTTCAGCGCCGCGATTTTCTTCTTGATCGCCTCCATCGTGACGCGGGGCCTCGCACTCTTCCTTTATCGATTGTCTCTTCGAGTCGGTCTCGCGCGAAGCTGCAAGGCGATTTCAGACGGTGAGAGGAACCGAGCGACAGAAACAGAGCGCACCCCGCCGGCGATAATCGCGCGCTTGCGAGCAAAGCTCTCTCGAAACCTCGTCCTCGTCATGATTCTAAAGCCTGCGAAGATCGCTGAAAAAAAAAGTAACTATTCCATGCACTTTAGATGCAACGAGAAGGAGGACGTCGAGTGACGCAACCGATGCGCGGGGCATAACTATGGCACTACGCTCACCGCCCCGAGGTCACACACCCCGTCATTCATCAGCACGCGATGATACCCTTATCGTCACAACCCGCTCTGATCTCGCGCGCGCACACCCCGCGTTGAGCCTCGCGAGGACGCAACGCAGGCCCGACGAGCCGCGCATCTTCCGCTTTTCTCGCGATTAATCTCGCGGGCGGCGCCGGTGCCGGGACGGAGAAGCGAAATTCCTACTAAAGGGGGACAAACACTCACTGCGATCGCGATGGCGATGGTCCGCGGGGAGAATGCCACACAACCAGATGCCTTCGACAGCCCAGCTAAAATAAAACGAAACCGGTCACCGCCGGTGCCGAGTCGCTACCTCCTCTCTTTCTTCCTCGGAGACTCCCCGATCATCCAATCCAATTCTATAATTGCTTGGGGACTTTGGCCGACGGCCCGGATTCACCCTCCGGGCCCTCCGTCACCGTGGACTGCCTACGAAACGCGATATCCGCTCGCTCGTCCCCGTGCTATTCTCGGCCCCCCTCGAGAAGAATCCCGTTCCTGTTTCCCGACGACCACGTAACCGACGCCTCCTCGTTGTTGTAAACAGCCTCGCGACAGGCTCGCGATCGGCATCGCCGACGAGAGCCTCTGAAATGTCGATCGACGTGGGATTGGTTCCTCGAAGCTCCCCGCTGGCTAATTACTTGTCGATTGACGTCAGATGCGCGAGCTTTCGACGAGACGGTGGTGACTGATAAGAGCTCGAGCAGCTCGAGGAATTGAAGAGTCCCTGGAGCTTTTTAAATAAAAATATATTAATGAAATTGAATTAAATGGAGAATGCAACAGAGAGGAAGAGAAGACTCGTGGTAGATTTCTCGCTCCGGGAAATTGCGAGTTCGCAGCCTGGATTTCCTTCTCTCGAGCTCTTCACGCGAGATCAGGACACGCGTGAGCTTGACGAGGATCCGTGTTCGCGAGATGAAGGTGAAACGGTAAAGACAAGTAACGGGACGTTCGGCGAAGCGACAAATACCATTGGGATTCCGTATATAGCGCAAAATTGCAAAAGACATCTGAACGATATGTCAAAGAGATGACATCTTTCAGAAGTTCGCGCTGTCTGAGACAATCGTCCCGTGAAACCAATCGCTTGGGAATTCGTCGTAACTTGGTCTAAGAGAATAGAAATAAGACGATTAAATCTAGCGAAAGATATATTTAATCGTTTTACTGGGTTATTTCTTTACAATAGTCTGTCATATTGTAACACATAACTTGTTGGTGTAAACTATTGTGAGACGCTGCGCATGATGAGATAAAGATGAAGATAGGAGAGAGAGAGAGAGAGAGAGAGAGAGAGAGAGAGAGAGAGAGAGAGAAAGAGAGGGAGAGAAAAAGAAAGAGAGGAAAGAGAGACAGAGGCAATGCGAATGAGAGTCTCTACGGATGTTTCTCTCGATGCGAATGATTTCACTATTAATTATAAACACTTCTTAAATTGTTAACACGCGTACGGTGTGAGATCGTTTGTTGATCGATTCATGAGATACAGATTCGTAAGCAGACTTTCGTAATTGCCGACGATCTAAGTAGTAAGTAACGCCGTCTAATTGTTCCGGGATATCTCGAAAACATCGAATCCTTATTCGACATTAAAGAAGCATCGTCTTCGAATATCGTATATTACCGTGTCGTATATAATCGACTTTTTCGACCATGGCACACAGTAAAGATGTCGAGTACAATTCGGTAGAAATACACATTTTTTTGTCTTTTTCTTTTTCCGCCAACCATCGCACTGCGCAGACACGCGCAGACGACAGATTCGAAAGTGACGGTTCGTGCGGATAGTCGTTTCGCTCTCCATGCGTGTACACACATGCCCCGTGAGAGTACTCTCGGTATTGAAAAAAGCGGTGCATATTGACATAGAGTTTTGGCAAAGATGTAGTACATGTATATATGTATATATATATATATATGCATATCAAGAAAAGCGCTCGAAACAATATATCGATATCAAATACGATCATATCGCATCGTAATGTGTAAATGCATCACTCTCCCTGGCACAACAGCTTCATAATAACGAGGAGAAACGCAAACGAAAAACGTATGCGAGGGCATAACAAACAGTAAACTAGCTCTCAAAACGCTTCGAACAGATTTTCTTTCGATTCGGCAGTTCGGCGTCGGCATAATGAGATATGATCCAGCGAGAGAATTTGTTTGCGATTAAGATGTTATCTCACAAGTGAAGTTCTCTCTCACTGGGCCGTCGTCGTCGGCTGCGTCTCGCAGCGCATCGAGACGAAGAAAAATGTCCAAATCGTTGCGAGACCGAGTGCACGATACGTAACGTCGCGCGGGTAAATACGCGACGTCGACCATTAACGCAACGACCGAGAAGAGGAGAAACGATCGTTAAGTAACACGCAAACTCGTAATAAAATAACGTAAAGCGAGAAGCACGTCAACGTGAGATATCAATTTCTTGTTCGTAATAATGATAAACGACGAACGCGATGACGTAGAGCGAGTACATACTTCAACAAATGCCTCACAGGCCAATAAGTACAAGAGAAAAATCAGGAAAACGAGAAAGAGGCGCGAAACATCGCTTACAAAACAAGTCGCAGGCTGCTTCTATGCCGCTTCCGAATCCTAAGTGCAGCGCGATTGATCGCTAAAGTTAAATTACGTATCACGATATAACGTTAAATTAACGTACAATTCTTCATTGGGCGGAAATAGAGACGATGCTACGAATTCATCAAAGACGCACGTATACGCGCACGATATCGGAGAGAAACCTAGAAAGTGCTGATGCGCCACTGATACGAGCTGCAGCATCGTCATCTAGAGAGATTAGATCCTGTCTCAGAATCGACAGACATTAACAGCACGTAGGTTGGTGTGTACGTGAGCAACAGGTGAACGGCATCCTCTCGGTCGAGCGCTCGCAACTGTTGCACCAGCGAACCGACGGTGCACTCCGCACCCGCGCAATTCAGCAATCTGCGAGAACAGAGGCAAAGAGTGAGAAATCGCAGCTTACGCGCAAGTATATCTCGAGAGAGCAACGTTGCTTCTCACCTCAACGTCGGGCTGTCCACCGTACTGTCCAATTGGGCGACACGATCGCCCAAGCCGAGTCTCACGGCAAGCAGACACCAGTCTCTGCCGTGATGATCAGGCGGGTCCAGCATCTGCGCCAGTCGTCTCTGCACGGCGGGCTTTATGTACTTGACCGGTTGCTTCGGGCCTGGCACGCAATTCTCCATCAACGGCAGCCCACAGCCTACTATCTCCCACACCGTCTCCTGGCGATCGTTCAAAGGGTTCTTGAGGGTCGCCTCCTCGAGGCCTTTGTCGATTAAAGCCGATATAACGGTGGCAGGCGCCCAAGAATGAATCATCTGGAAGCGAGCGCGATAAAATAGACATGTGAACGAGACACGAGTTCTGTCGTGTGTCGATTTTGCACGACGTAGAAATACAACGTTTTTTTGCATTTTGCAGCTTCACTTCACCTCATCATATTCCCGAAGCTGGCTGGGACTCAGCCAATGCCTCTCGAGCAGCATCCCGGGCGCGACCAATTCGATAGTGGTGTCCATCGCGTCCACGATCACGCTGAAAAGAGCGAAGCACTGAGCACTGGAGCCGCGCGGCCCGCGGACCTGGATCTCCACGCAGCTGTGCTCCTCCTCCTCGAAGGTGATTATGCTTTCACACGGTCCGACGCAGAGCTTCGATCCTCGCCACCACTGGTACAGGTCCGAGTTGGACGGGTCCCAAGTCTGCGTGATCTTTCTCAGTTGCGCCTACGCGTGCGATTCCAAGTAGGTATTTTAATTTCTCCCTTCTACGTCACGCTGATTTATTATTAAGAGCATCGATTACCTGTAAATGCGTAAATATCGCAGTCAAGTGGTACAAAGGCGCTTCCTCCGGACAAAGGCGCAAGCCAGCGTGAGGTAACGCATTGGAGCACGGTTTCCACGGCTCCCACAGGCCGGGCAGACGCTCCACCAAGTTTAAACACGGAATCTCGTACTCCACCTCGTCGTCGTCCACCTCACACTGAAACGACAAACAGCCACGCTCGCGTGGTGGTGAACAATGATTGACCGACCCGGCCGGACTTCGCAGAACGTACCGGAACGCACAGATTGACCGCTTGCAAGGCTTGAAGCGCTTGAGTGGCGGGGCAAGGGCACCGCGCCTGGAAATCCTCCAACGTGTAAACACCGGTTGTTCGACCACCTAGTCGTCCTCTTTGATCGGGGCTGAGCTGCCAATTCAGCACGTCCTGCCAAAACCACTCGGGACTGAGCACTATCAGGTTACCGGGCAGTAAAATGCACTCTCCCAAATTCTGTAATTCAGTTTAACGGACTTTTCTTGGAGAGAAGAGAGCGAACAAGCAGCGTTAATCGTATCGGGTTTGTATCGGGGATACATTACGAACCTGTAACTGTAGTCCGAGATGCCTGCAGTGCTCCAGGCAAACCAAGGGATTAATCTTTCGCACTTCGTTGAGAAACTCCTCCTGAGTGAGCATCAACGGTGGCACTTCCAACGATTGTACATACGTCCTCCATACCTCGGCGAGACCAGTCCACACTAAGGCGCTCTATAATACGCGATTACATCCATAGTAACAGAATGGTGCGCTATTAAGTTATCACATTGATGCAGAAAATATATACAAGAGATAGAGAAAGAAAGAGAGATAGAGTCTTTCTTTTTTTTATACTTTCTTTAAATCTGATAATATATATATAATATGTATATATATATATATATATATATATATTGTGCATGTATGTATATATGGGAGAAAGCATTAGTGCAACTATTGAACCAAAGTACAGTTTCGTTATACACATCACTCTTATTAAAGGAATTGAGAGAAGTATTTCGACCTGTTTATCAAGATTCGCCAGGGGCACGTACGTAGCCGCAGCACGCGGCGCGTCACGTCGGAGAATACTTTCTGCAACTTCCGGTCCATCCTACATCATGCATTGCATGCATTAAGGCTGATGTTAATAAACATTAATGGCCAAATAATCAGCAACTAAAACATATGTTCTTAATAATTCGGTTCGGTGTGATTATACATATATGTATATATGATGTGTGTGTGTATATATATATATATATATATAATATATATATATATATATATATATACACGCATATACACACACACATATATGTACATGACATGATATCGGACATGTTCGTTGAAAAGGTGTGCTCAATCAAACATTGCAAATGATCGAATGTCGCAAGAGAGTCATGAGACATACAAAGATACTCTCGATGCTTTCATAGTTCTTTGTACATATATCAAATCAACCATGCATCATGGATGACTAGAGGAAAGTCGTATAAATGAGTAGAGAGATCGTCGCATTGTCTCCGGCGCGGCGGTCGGAAGTCAATGTTCGGATTCCACAGCGTGTAGGCGCTGCAAGATCCGAAATCGATGAATGAATTATACAGATAACAGCGTAATGAGGTATAGTTCATCATTGACCAGAACCGTTTCGCCGGCAGATGCGAGAATACGCACATTTATTTATCGCATGCTGTACAAATTAGTGTACCTCCTGCAGAAATATGGTTATTTACACGAGAAAAGTGCCGTTAATTATCCGCCCGTATCGGCAGATCGTGTGTTGAACGGTTCTGCTCACACATATTTAGTATCAAGCATACTGATATCATGCATTTACTGGTTATATCTTGGAGTGGATTAAAGACATATGTAATATCCGATGGTGAGAATATAATCTTAAGATTAGAAGAGATTACAGATTCCCGTCGGAGAAAGAGAGAGATTCGATCGCGAATCCGGATAGATCGTGCGAATCAAATGTTGAAGTCTGTCCGGTTGGAAGATCGAGCGACGAGAAAGCAGCATCTCTTCTAATATTATAGATACAGCGTAATAAATATTCGTATTTGTACAGAGAATATAATCGCTTCACCTCGAGAAATTCCATCCTCGCGTTATTTAAGTAAGATCTGAGGAGTTTGAGGCCAGGACTAGAGGGATTAGTCGCATCCAGTGCTACCATATGAGGCTCCTCCCCGAGAATCGACGTAAAGTCTTTCAGAAATGGCAAGAGCGGTGCAAGTAGATTGCCACCGTTCGAATTTGGGGCTAAAGGTTCCGGCGCATAAGTGCCGACTAAAATTACTTTTACGTCGCTGCATTTGCCGCCAAATCCTTCAATGAGAGAAGCATTTTCAACAAATTAGAGATTCGCTTGTCGCGTATCTCCGGTGAATAAACAAATTGACGTACATGGTAAGTTACGAGACACACACACGTACACACAGAAGAAACATATAGGATACATTCTTGGCCGATGCCTTACCGACATTACTCGGATTGATACGATCCAGGATAAACTGCAGCCAGAATTTGATCTGCTGGAGTTGAACGGTGAGCGGCTCTCTCAGACTGACTGTGATGAGGTGCACTGCTGGCTGCTGGAATGTGAGCACGTAGTGGTAAGACGCCAGGAATTCCTCGCGTCCGCACAACTCCCAGAAAACGCATTCACCACCTGCTCAATCACGCATATCCGTGTAATTACCGTCGAGACATTCCTATTTCGTACGTACTTAAATATCTCGAAATATTGTATTAAGTATAATATATATAAAATAAAACATAAAAAATAAATTATATATATATATATATATTATTTTTTACTTAATATAATATTTGATAATATTAATATTATATATATATATATATATGCCGCAAATATATTATTACATAATATATTACATTACCGCGGATTTACCCACTAATTAAACTAAATAATTACACTGCTCACCTACATTACCACGACTCCACTCTACCCCCTGTGTACCTTCATATTCGCTGTCGCTGTACTCGAAACTAAGAGAACCGTGTTTACTCGTTACGTCCAACTCGATACTTGGTTCTCTCTGAGAAGAAAAGAAAAGGAAATGAATATGAAACACACGTCGATTATTTTGATTACTTATGTGAACAGCCTCTTCATATTTCACGCATTGCATAACGCACCTTCGCGTTGCAATTCTGACTCCTTGACCTTCGGAAAAAGCCGAAACTGAATATTCCAGACTTTAAAGAACTGATTAACGACGATTTCCCGGAAGCGCAGTGCCCGAGCAGTCGTATGTGCAGCCGGTCTATCGGTCTGTGCGTCGGCTGCAGCTGACGAATATAATTTTCGCGCTGATTCGGCTGAAAGTAGATTAAACCATCGGTCGATGTTTCGTAGGCGTTTCTTCCAACACAGCAAGACAGTGATACCGTATCGTAGACAACGAGAAAGAGGGGAAGTAAGGAGACTTACGTTTCGCAACTTATCTAATAAGTTGGCGATATCCGGATATCCATACTTGATCGCAGTAACATCCGCTCTGATTCCACGATTCGTTTTATCGACATCGCAACCAGCAAGGCACAAGTGTCTGACCAGATTAATATGTCCATATCGGGCGGCCACGTGTAGCGCCGTGAGACCTTGTTTGTTCGGCCTGTCCAGATCGATTCCGCTTTCTATCAGCAGAGTCGTCATTCCTTCGTCGCCAGTTTCACAAGCAATGTGCAAAAGAGTGTCTTCTTTCTGAAGGATAACGTGTTATAATTTTATGCGATATATGTACACGTGTGTACACATATTCTCGATATATACATCGGCAAAATAAGTAAAAAATGTCTCACAGAGTCTTTCACATTTAACGGAGCACCCTGCAACAATAACTGAGAGACAGCCTCAACACAGCCTCGCTTCACAGCACTGATCATCGCTCCACTGAGACCCTGAGGAGCTTCAGATTCCTGTGCACAAAACAAAACAAGACATTGAAATCGGGAACGGCACGTCGGTAACGAGTCGTTACTGAATTTCTTCGGCATTACGAAGTGACGTTCATTGTCAGTTCGCGATGTGTAACAGAACACATGCGCTATAAAACTAAAAGAAAATATCGCCTCAATATCTCTGGTAACCAAGGTACGCGTGTATAATAAAAGAAAAATATATATACTGCTGACTTATATAGTAATATGTATATTATATATAAAAAATAATTTTTTTCGTATATATAACGACGTATATATACGACATAACTGTACAATACGTAATAACGTCAGAACGGGGCGGGAGTTATTTAAAAGAAAATGCACAGAGTCAATACAGGGTATTCGAAACGAACAAATGTATAATAAACCGCAACGTGTGTGTGCATGTGTGTGTGTGTATGTGTGGGTGTGTGTATATACGCGCGTATAAATGTATGCATATGCTGCGTATGCGTGCGAGTGTTATTGATTAACACAAATCGTCGTTTTCAGGAACACACCGTGAGAATCCAAGGATGCTTAAGGCACGATTCAGCATTTCCTCTCTCTCTGAAATGAAAAGAATGATTCTTTTCTCGTCGATTCTCGCAAACTATAACAGAGACTCGATGAATAAAAACTGCTGGCTTTTTCATCAACTTACTTTGGATCCTTGATCAACAAGGACCGTATGAAGTCTTTGGCAATCTCGGACACGTTATTGAAGTATTCATTGTCGAATTGGTATTGGCATGCAGCGACGTTCGCATAAGTCTCTTGCTTGTCCTCGCCCAAGAAAGGTGAGGCACCGCTCAGGAGAATGTACGTCAATACACCGACTGCCCAGAGGTCGGTGCCCAGACTGAGCGGCTCGTAATTTACGATCTCCGGCGCCACGAACTCCGGTGTGCCGAATAACGCTCTATGTTCAGAGCCGGGTACCAGTCGGTGCGATAGACCCAAGTCTGCGAAGTAGTGTATGTTATATAACTAAAAATGTTGGTAGGACGGAGGTTTTAGCATTACCTATCAGCTTGATGCTAGGCATCGGCGGTGGCGTTGATAGTAAGATATTTTCAGGCTTAATATCCAGATGAGCAACTTGATGGGAGTGTAAGTGACTAAGTGCCATTAAAACTTGGCGCACCTTGGGGAAAAAAACATCAGATAGAAATTACTTGGCATGTTTAATCGGCTCGCGAGTGCGTTCACATACCACATGCGCGGCCTCTGCTTCACCAGACGGAGTCCAATGGAACAGTTCACCACCAGAAATCAATTCCAGGAGCAACACCACTGTCGTTCCTGTGTCTATTACCTTGTATAAAGAAACAATGTTGGGATGCCTCAGCCGAGCTAAGAGACCAGCTTCTCTTGCTGGAAGAACAAAGTTATTCTATTAGATATAGTACCCTGGAAACTAAACTATTTTTTAAATAATATAATACAATGTGAAAAAAATTATGATATATTACCAATATCTGCAGCAGCTACACCTCTCGCAACTCGCCTCTTTCTCATAATTTTTGCAGCATACAGTGAGCCAGTTTTTACTTCCTTACATTTTCGTACAATAGCAAATTGACCCCTGATTCAACCAATGTATAAACATGTCTTGTTATTTAAGAAATATTGTAAAGAAGCAGTTAGATATATGAATACGCACTTGCCAATCTCTTCAAGCAGCTGATAGTTTTTTTCAATCGGTTCATGATGGACCTCCATTAAAGTATCCCACACAAAATCTGAGAAAAAAACATAAAAACATCATATTTTTCTAATCAAAACTTGAAAACTAATCAATATATATTACAAAAATTTAATTATACATGAAAGTACAGCATTCCATTACATACCACATCATCTTGAATTTTAAATATCTATATAAACCATACTTTTAAAAATAAATATTAAGATATATATGTGTCTGTGTATATGTGTGTGTGTGTGTGTGTGGTGTGTGTGTATCTGTGTGTGTGTGTGTGTGTGTATACAAAATACTAATTTATAATGTTCCACATCTCTATTTAAACAATAATAACATTTACCTGCAAGAATATATATTTATGTCTAAATCACTCATTGAAATTAAAAAAAAATTCTAGTTAGAGTCCTTAAAATTAGAGCAAATGAAATGACATGAAGATGACATCCTGTCAAAATTAATTTATAATAATGAGAATATAAATTTCGAACGGGAGAGAAAATGGAGATAATTGTTAGACGGGCAACCCAGCAAGTAATTCTCGCAACTCGCGACAATTAAGCTCGATAATTCCTGATATTATCTCCTTAATGTGAAGGGTTGTTGAATCGGTCATTTGTGACAAAATTCGACGCGACGTTTCCGAGATGTACAGAAGGTGTAGAAGGTAAACCGATTTCTATTACCGTTCAGTGTTTCCAGCTGGCGAGATGTGCCCGGCATCATCTCCCGGTCGTGCTCATCGTTCGATCTATCCGAACAGTTTTGAGTCTTGCGAAGAGCCGTTACGAAAATTATGTGGCATCCGACGGCCTTCACCCATGCCGGCCGCCCCACACACACAATCGATATGCTTGTATCGCGCGGAACGCCATCTTACACTACGCACTACAGGTTTGTTCTGTTCAGCCGAACTTCCTGCACTATGCAAGAGATGTGCATCAAAGCATTTCTTTTAACGAAAATGACGTCAAGAGCTGCTATTCTTTTTCGAAGTGCAGCCATTTATGCGATATGCAAGAGTTCATCGTGATTCTTTGTACGTTACTGCGTTCTCCATACTCTTGAATAAACGCAAGGGCTAATAGCACCTATAAAATTTTAATTTCATATTTGTGAAGACAACTTATTTTTAATTTGATATCGAAGAAATAATAATCTCGAATATAAACAAAGATACAAGGATAATAAATATATATACATATGAAATAAGAATTTTTTTCTCAGTCAAAAGAAATGAAACACGATTCAATAAGTTGTAATTTCAAAACAAATAATGATAACGAAATAATTAAGAAGCATTTTCCAATTCCAAGTTTCTAATTTCATAATATATTTAAAAACATGAAGTTTGCTTTTTACAACACGACATGAAAAGCAATCAAGATCCAAATACGAAAAAAACGTTCGATATAATTCGTTAAGCTATACAGCATAAATAAAACATATACAAATAAAATTTATATTGCTTGAAAACATGAATATTTCTCCTAAATTTACGTGTGTCTGGATTGCAATGAAATATATTTTCACCAAGTTATATAATGTTGAAGCAAAAATGATTTTTCGGTTTCGATCGTTCACAAAGCATGAAAGAATCAAACTTCCTTAAAGAAAGAATATGACATTCCTTGAGAAATTAATAGAAAATTTAAAGTTTATTATATATTATGCATTATTTATATTTTTAATAAAATTAACTCTATGTTATAAGAACTGAGCGTAACCACCGACGAGATACTATAGAGACTGTTGGTCTAAAGCCCGGTCCAGAATAGGTCGCAAACATCCAGTTGCGAGTTGCGAAGAATGGCAACTATATTAGGTATAAAGTATTATTTTCGGTCGTAAGACAGTTGCGGTTGCTAAAAGAGTGTTGCCCAACTTTTAACTTCTTGGCGACGACAACTGGCAATCGCAACTGTCTCTAACAACCGAAAAGAGCACTTCGTAACTAGTAGTTGCCATCCTTCGCAACTCATAAGCGCAACTGGATGTTTGCAACCTATTCCGGACCGGGCTTTACGGCATTTAGCGTACCAGCAGGAACCTGAAAACGGCCAACACGACGTTTTCGGCGACACCACCGACGAGATACCATAAAGACTGTAGGCTTTACGGGATTTAGCGTACTAGAGAAATTGTGTTGTGCACTAGCGCCCTCTTGGGAATATCGTGGCTAAAATATAAAATATAGCACGAAATAAGCACGGATGGTAACAGATATGGAATAATGGAAAAAGGTATCGGAAGATGTCAAAGACTATTAATACAGAAAATTGGCCGAATATGTATGTGTGTATGTCTCTTAGGATTGCAAAACGTGAGAAAATTTAGAATAATTTTTATTTTAAATATATATACACGTTGGCATTCCTTAAGTTAATAATTCGAAGTTGAAATAATACTAGAATTGCAATCCGAAACACATATCGGGTGTTTCAGACCACCCGAATTACCCGATTTTTTCGTTAACGCGACATTTTAGAGAAAAATGTTTCAGATAAGAGTTGTAGAGCTTCAAAGGATCTATTTACTGACGCTATGAATTTGATCTTGGGATAACCTTGAAAAGTCCAGTCAAGATCAACATAAAAATCTTAAATGGATACCCCAATTTTTTATTACATCATCTTTTTCTAGTAATTAATTTGACCAACTTTTGTCTGAAACACTTTTTTATTTACCTAATATTTTTTGAGATATTTAAGGAAAACTTGATAACTTTTTCAATATTTAATTCACGATACTATTTGTCACGCTAACTATTTGTCAAAGGAAAAAGTGGTACTAGACTTTTTTGCTCTGTTTAGGCTCAGGTATATATTTTTACAATAGCGCCCTGACTTTTGTTAACTTGCTGATTTTTGCAAATTTCAAAAGGGCAATATAGTGAATGTAGCATAGACTTCCACCACATGCAGATTTTACCACCGAGACCTGAAAGTGGTTGTAGCTTCGTAGTTCCCCTCTCAAAATGGATGCAGATGGCGCTTTTTCCCAGTGCGGAAAGTCCAAAAAGAGCAGATCAAGGAAGATTGCCGTTTTCAGGCACTCTCACTCTTTAACCGCACGTGGATATATGCATATTTATGTGGACCATGTATTTCTAAGTTCTCAGTATTCTAACCATATTAAAGTTGTAACAAAAAGTTTTAGCAGTGCTATAGTCTTGAATACTTTCGAGGAGAGCCGACAGCACGGTGGCAATAGTTATCGAAACGTAGAAACGTAGAAAAGAAAGTAATAGGAAGTAAATCATTGTTTACCGAACATTTTAGAATTATGATCAGTACATGTGACATGTGGCCAAGCGCAAAAAGTGACATAAAATCAACAGAGTTTAATACTGCAGCCTGGAGTTCTATGGGAGTTCCTTCTGTTATTATAAAAGCTTTGGCAGATCAGAATTTTTATACCCCTACTATCATACAAGCTAAAACACTACCAGCTGCCTTATTGGGCTATCGAGATATACTAGGTGCAGCTGAAACAGGCAGTGGCAAGACTTTGGCTTTTGGCATTCCGATAATAAAAGGTATCTTGGAATTAAAGAGCCAAAAGGCAAAAACAATAGCAGATGAAAAGTCTACAGAAACTAGTGAAAATGAAGAACGGACTTGTCATGAAGTAGAAACTGAAGGTGATACAAGATTTTCTTGGAAAGAATTGATTCTTTTCACTTCTCGTGGAATCGAGCTAATGCACTGTATTTCAATGTGTTACAGATAATACAGATAATTCCACAAACTCTGATTCAGAGGATGAGAACTTATCAGAATATGAAAATTGTATTAATGTTATAGAATTAGATAATTGCCAGAATATTCCGAGCAAACCTTTGTATGCATTAATTCTAGCACCCACACGTGAGTTGGTAGTTCAAATAAAACAGCATCTTACTCAGGCAGTAAAATATACAGACATTAAGGTGAGAACAATTTTGGTTGAATAATTATATTATTATACATATAATATATACAAATATAATAATATTGCTATGATAATATCATATCATAATGATATAGATAGCTGCTGTATTTGGTGGTCTGGCAGCAGTGAAGCAAGAGAGGCTACTTAATCAGGGCCCTGAAATTGTTATTGCCACACCTGGTAGATTATGGGAATTAATTCAACAAGGCAATCCTCATTTGAGCCAAGTGGATTCTATTCGGTAATTATTAATTTAATGAAGAATATATCTTATTTACTTATTTGGGTAATCACACAACTTTAGGTTTCTGGCCATTGATGAGACGGACAGAATGTTAGAAAAAGGTCACTTCCAAGAACTGCATGATATCTTACAAAAGATAAATGTGGATCCAATAAAACTTAAGAAACGACAAACATTCGTTTTCTCTGCTACATTGACTATGGTGCATGATCTGCCAGATTACCTTGAGAAAAAGAAGAAGCGGCACTTCAAAAGTAAAATATGCAAACTCACACCTGGTCAGAAACTGCAGAAAATTATACATTTGCTACAAATAAAAAACCCTAAGGTCGTCGACCTCACAAAAGAGTCAGGTAGGAGTCATGACTGTATATTTTGAATATGAACTTGTTGCTTGTTACAAGGGTATTACCTATTAATCGAACTTAAATTATCAGGTACGGCCGATAGTTTGACAGAATGTCGAATGACGTGCACAATCGACCACAAAGATTACTATCTGTATTACTTTTTGAAAAGGCATAATGGAAGAACATTGGTATTTTGCAACAGCATTGGTTGTGTGAAAAGATTAGCCACTCTCTTTGGTATACTTGAATGCAGACCCTTACCTCTGCACGCCAATATGCAACAACGACAACGCTTAAAGAATCTTGAAAGGTTGGAAAAAATGTTTTGTATCGTATTTCTCGTACGTGTAAAATTTATACATTCCATAATAATGGCAATTACAGGTTTCAAGCTGATGAAAATGGCCTGTTGATAGCCACGGACGTGGCCGCGAGAGGCTTAGATATACCCAACATTGAACATGTAATACATTACCAAGTCCCTAGAACATCAGAAGTAAATATTTTTAATACATATTTTACCATATGCTATAGAAAATATGTACTTATATGAAATTAATTTATTAACTATTTTACAGAGTTACGTGCATAGGAGCGGTAGAACAGCAAGAGCTCAGAAAGAAGGCATAACTGTACTGATGATGGAACCTTCAGAGAAGGAAAATTACAGCAAGTTGTGCAAAACTCTAGGACGCAGTATGTTGTCCTCTTATTAATTTCTTTTTAGGTAATCACAGTTACATATTAACCATATATGCTTGTTTTTAGCGGAAGATTTGCCCACATTTCCTGTAGTAGACAGGCTGCTGATCGCTATAAAAGAAAGGGTCAACATTGCTCGGGAGATCGATAAGTTGGAATTAAAATGTCGTCGGGAAAATAACCAAAAAAGTTGGATGCGGAAAGCAATGGAGGACATGGATATGATCGTAGACGATGACATCGACATCGAGTAGGGATAATCGTCTTGACTTTTCTTGATATCGTTGGAGCACATATTATGTCTTCTTTTTATTTCAGCGAGTCATCAATCGAATTGGAAGAAGCTGCTGCACTGAAACGACAATTAAAAGCGAAGAGACGTCAACTGCAATCTCTATTGACGAAAGTGGTGTTTCCGAAAGGATTTTCTGGAAAATACTACGATGATAATTTAAGTACAAATATATACCCTGATACAGAAAAGGCCGTTGAAGTGATGAAAAAAATTATTGATGTTCCTGATAAAAAATATAATGAAAGACCTCTAAAGGCCGTGGCTGTCAACGAAAGGCCTCGAAAGAGGCAACGTTCACAAAATCCAAAAAAATCGAAAAAATTTAAAAAAATATAATATTTTTGAGAATATTTATTTATGAAAATTAATTATTTCATCCAGATCGGATCTTGTCCCCCCTCCTCCTCCCCTAGATATTCTGTTAAAAATACTTCTAATGTATTTCATTATGTTATATTTTTGCGCATTGATATATTAATAAGAAGGATCACTTCCAAAAACTAACGCAATCTTTCCGAGAGCCAACATTTTGACGGAATGTCAAATAGCATGCACGATTCGCCATAAAGGGAATTATCATCTTTATTATTTTTTTGAAAAGGCTCAGCAAAAGAATATTGATAACAGGATCGGCTGTGTGAAAAGATTAGCCACTCTCTTCAACATACTCAAGCGCAATCCTTTACCTCTGCACGCTATTGCGCAGCAACGGCGACACTTAAAGAATCTCCAAACTGACGGAAGAAAGTGATAGAATCTTCAAATAACAAAATAGTACCGTGCCTTGAATAAAAGAAAACCACTCGCAAACATTGAAAAAATCGAAGAAGCTTAAAAAAGTCTAGAGCAAATGTATTTTAGTACAACACAGACGAGGGGCCAATGTCTTGCATCTTTTTACATTGCCAGTTTATCATTTATTTAATTTTCACCTGCGGCAAGGTTCGCCAGAGAAATCAGACAAAAATCATTTCGACGCGCGAGTTACGCTTTACATTCTTAATTAATTTGAGCGATTCGTCATACTAATCGAACGTACGTTCTAATATACGTTCGCGTTTCCTTATCGCAGTAATGTTAGTACGTTAACGTATGGCAGAGATATGTACAGAGAATTTCTGTATTTCTCTACAAAAGGCAGTTGTACATGTCTCCTTGACGTGTCCTTACGTATTAAAGTACACTTCGTGACAGCAGGATATATTGGAAAGTCGATCGAAGAACACAGCCCGTTTGTCTACTCGTTAGGATACTACTTCACTTGTCGCTGCTTCGAGCTCGACACTTGAAACTACCTCGTCCACGTGCGACCGCGCTCACGACGGGACGCAAGCGTCACATACGCATTCTACTCGCACTCGAACTTGCTTCAGAACACGGTATTGTAAATCACTTCGTCCTCCGTGCTGATGATAGAGTCGATCTGTTCGCTCGTCACCATCGAGTTCACGTATCTCTCGTTGCCGAGCATCGGACCGCGCGCTCCCATAGGCGTATCGTTACCCTGCACGACGATCCTGATACGCGCCATCACATGGCTGCCCGGACATTTTTGCACCTGGTTGCTCGCCGTCGTGTCGCAGATCTCGGCGTAGATCTCCTCGGGCTTGTTACTCCTGACCAGCTTCGGCAGGGACGGCAACGGTGTCAAGCTGTCCCTCACCCGGGAATAATTGGGCTGCAGCTCGACGCACGCTGGGATCTCCAGCACGCTGGTCGAGACCGATCTCTGTACGGGTTGTTTGGCGGCGCTCTGACGGTGCGCCTGATGAGAGGTAGTTTCCGGCTCCAGACTGGAGTAACGCTCCTGCGATCTCATGGCGATCTCCGGCCTCACCGCGAACGTGAACGAGGCCGACTTCTTCGCGGGGTTGCGATTCCGGTTGCCTTGGGCAAGCTTGGAGATCCTCTCGAGGATGCCGCCGTTGCCGGTGCTCTGCTTCGCTTGGTTCCGTTCCTTCGTGGCGGTGCTCTTCCTCAGGTGCTCCAACCCGTCCTTCAAGCTCTGCAGTATCGGCTTGGTCTCCGGCTTCGGCTTGATTTTCTTCAGATGCATCTCCCTCAGGCTGTCGCCGGTCGCCGCCGGGTGTAGCTTCACGGGCGCCACTCGCGGTTCCGTTGCGCGGTCCCCGACCGCTCGACTACGGCAAGAGAACCAGTTCAGCATGGAGCACAGATTCCCCATCGCGCGACATTAACGTCCTTCCGTATAATGAGACGACGTTGCCCCGTTACATGGGGCGATACACGTCGAATTTTATGGGATACGAAATCGAACGGAATTCGTACAATGAATAAATAATAGCGTATAAGAAAAGGCCAATTAAAATAGTTTACTCGCCATGCATATTCATCGAGAGAATTCGCGTGGATATAAACGTCGAGCTGCGTCTTCGACCAGCTCCGAATTCCGATTTTAATGACGAGCGAACTTTGTTTCAAATCCGGCCGACGAAGAGCTTACCTGCAGGCCGCCAGTAACCGCTGCATCTTCGGGGAAGCGAGCAGTCTCGCCTCGGAGGGGTAACCCAGTCGTGCCCTTCGAACCCTCGGCGCTCCGTTTCCGCACACGACTAACTCGAGCATCTCCGGATTATGCACCGGTCTCTCCGGGACGATACATCCCAGGACTATCGGGCCGCGCGTCGACGTCTCCAACTGCATCAGACCGCCGTACTCTTTTGGCAAGGGCACAGGCAGCGGTCCTGCTATCAGCCGCACCTGAAGAGACGAAAAGCGGCTTGAGCGACGATAGAACTGAAGTTCAATCACTTGGAATTCGACAAAATTATACTAAAATTGAACGAAATAGAACAAGGAAATTAAACAATGGAATTATAACAATGAATTAAACGAAGCAAGATTCCTCGGGAAAGTCCACTCACTCTGAGAGGCAGCTGCCGCTTGGCGAGATGATGAACCTTGTAGAGCATCGCGTCGCCGCCGGTGTCGACGTTACCGTTCTGACAGATCGCGTAGAACTCGCCCCTGGTCGACAGCGAGGCGAACACCTCCCGTCCATGAAGATCGATGCATTGCGCATATTGGTCCTTTTCGGGACAGCCGCCGGAGATGCCGAAGGAGACCGAGCTGCACCGCCTGGTGTCCTGGAAGACCGCCACGAGTCGAAGAATCTCGCCAGCGCGGATCGTCGTCTTCGTATAGTGGGCTCGCAGGTTCCCGTTCTCTGGAAGACACGATTGACGTATACACGTGCGGAATGCAAGCCGCAACAATGTCGTCCGTCGGGTAGGAAGGACGATCGCGATAATCGCGATCCGTTTCTTTGATTACGTTGCGCCGGGTCCCGTTAACAACGTCGAATCGAAGGAAACGCCAACCCAACGTGATCATAATCGATCTCAACAGTCGTGTCCTGGGGGCATCCTTAACGGTACGGACGGTGTTAAAAAGCGCGGTAGAAGTCCTTCTTCCTTCCCAGATCATGTCCGACACGAGACTCGCGCGCGATGTATATCTAACATCAGGGTCAAAGGCTTACACGTATCCCTCTCTCCTTCCTCCCCCGCCGCTGCCGTTACTCGCGTTTTTGCCGATATTCCCGTTTTAACGAAGTCTCGGTTTTATCGCGCGGTACTTAACATTCCCCTAACGAGTGTCATCCGTCCGTTATTAGCCGCTTTACGATCCCTCGACCTGCGCCCGTTGTCCGGCAGAAAAATGGCCCCGACTTCGCCGCGATCTTTATAGCCTCCCCGGCTATGTTCCGAGGCAATAAGCAATACAACGGACATTTCTTTTGCGCGTGTGTAATTTTTTACATAAATATATATCACTAGTATCAAACGTCTCTCTCTCTCTCTCTCTCTCTCTCTCTCCCCCCTCTCTCCCCCCCTCTCTCTCTCTCTCTCTCTCTATCTTTCAACGAGACATATTTCAGCCCCCTTTACTTTTCCTCTTCGTATACACAATTTTATTTACTTATTTCGCGTTTACGCATATACATATCTCTTTCTATTTGTTTCAACTAAAGCGATAATACGTGAAAAGGAAAGAAAGCGAGTTTTCTCGTGAAAAACATGTCGTTCCTGATATCCTCAAGCTCGCATTTCTGTTTTTACGCGAAGCAAGTGAGGAAGGAGGAGCAAAAGATATGGAGCGAGGGAGAGAGAAAAGAGGAGAGTATGATCGCTTTCTACGTCGCCTACCGATATCCTTATGTATCTGGGTCAAGAACGCTGCACCGCTTGACATTTCGCGAGAGCGCGATCGCGATCGCAATCACACCACGCGCGCCCGGGACTTTCCAGTGCCTCATCCGACCGAACTTACCCATTTTCGAGTGCGTCAGGGTATAGGCGCGCAAAGGAGTCGCCAGCAGAAACGCGGGCACCCCGGTCTTCACCAGAGAGTCCATCCTGCGGTAAACGCGCGCGCTGCCCGTCGTATTGCTACCAGATATCACAGAAAACCATCCTGAAAAGAAGAAAGGCACGTGAAATGTCAATGCGAAGACACACCATGTCGACGAAGTTACGCAGGGATCATTCGTTCGATCCCAATTTGACCGCAGTAAACACGAACGAACGTTGATCGTTGAAGGACCCCTCTCTCTCTCTCTCTCTCTCTCTCTCTCTCTCTCTCTCTCTCTCTCTCTCTCTCTCTCTCTCTCTCTCTCTCTCTTCACAGATTGCCCATGTCAATAAATCAATAATTGTCGTGACTGATTCGTACAAATAATAAATTCTTTGAAACAAGGCCATTCTAAGATCTCGCAAGGAACGGTAGTTTTATTTCCTTAACGGTGCTTTTAAGAACCAATTCTCGAAAGATACAGCCAAAAGTTATGTAAAAATTTACGTGTCATCATTAGGATTTGTTTTAATTCGCACGAGAAACGGTAAACCGGTAATTGCAGCGACAGACGTAGAGAAGAAGGGTCCGCAGTTCGTCTCCTCTTCAACAAGAAGGCCCAAGGCTGAAGTTTTGTTGATCGCGGCGAGAACGATTAGGACCGGTTAGAGTCGAAGAGTCGGCGGCAAGGAGCGGCCCGGTGGTCCCAGACGGACGGGTTAAAAAGCGTATCTATCTGGAAGGAAGGAAACGCGCTTCTGCGGTTCCCGCCAGCTCGTAAAAAGCTCGTCAAATATTGCGAGCGGGCGATCCGAAGCTGCGCGGAAGCCGCGCCGGGGAGACACAGTAGCCGGTCGGCCGATCGAAGGTCGGCTGCTTCTTTTGTGCCTGTCGCTAATTGATTTAAGAATGCCGCCCGGAATGCACGTACGACGTCGTGTCGCAAATCCAGCTCTTGAGGACCGCAACGCGAATCGCCGCGCCGTCGCTCATCATTCGGCAGGTACGTCAAGGATGACTCTCCACGAAGATGGCTTCGTTTTCGCTTTCGGCTTCCTGGACGCTTCCTGGCAGTCCGCTTTCCGCGGGATCTTTCGGAAGGAAAATATATACCGGACCATGATGAGTTAAATTTGACACGCCAAGTGGATGAAATTTTTGGAAGAGCATAAGAACAGAGAGAAAAACTATCGATGACACGACACGTCGAGAAATTCAACTTGATGGCATTCCCACGTGAAGTCAACGTGTTGATACATCTTTCGCGAGCGATCTTGTAAGATTTCGGTACGATGAGATGTTCTTTCTCGGGGAGAATATTTCACTCTCTCTCTCTCTCTCTTTCGCGTGCACAACGTCTTTGTTATTTTCGCACATTTTACTTTTTATTTCTTCCGGCCGACAAAGGAGCATTCCAGAAGACAAAAGAGCATTCGCGAGAGGATCCACTCGCGAGTCGGTCGGTGAACAAGCGCGAGTCCCTATGACGGGAAAAGAGGTTTCCCTTGGGAAAGTTTTTCCGTTTCCAGCTTACGCGCGCATTAATTCCGCTCGAGGTTAATTGATGGAATAATCAGGAGGCCGTCGGCGGCAACGGCGACGGCAACTACGACGACGTCGTCGGCGGTTCTTTAGCCTCTTTTTTATTCTAGATCAACGACCTGGAAACCCGCGGCAATTAGACGAATGATATCGGCTCTCTCGATGCGATCCCGAGAACGCCCCAGGAAGGAAGCTAATGGAGTTTTCTCGAACGTCCCTCGATACTACAACGATAATAAGAAGCGACGGGGCGGAGGGGCAGGCGGGAGCGTGTACTCCGGAAAAGAAAAGTTGCAGAGGCGAATTGCAGTGCGGTTGCAGTTGCAGTTGCACAAGAGAGGTGAGCGCGCGCGCGGCGACGGCCTTCCCTCACTTTCCATTTCCACGCGCGCATCCGACGCTCGGTCCCGGGTAACGCGCGACCGCGAGAGAGCGAGCGAACGCGCCTGTCTCGTAATTATAGAGATCGCCGCATCCGCTGGAAAGAAAAGGAACGAGGAGGGAAAAGGGAAAAAGCGTCGTCGCGCGGAAAAGTCGAGGCATTCGCGGGGCGCAGCAATGCGCCAACGCGGTTTCCCGACGCGGCGGCCGCCTCCCGCCCGCATTGTCTCGCGTAATTGCGGCGCTTATCGATCGGCGTAATGAAGCACGCGTCTCCTCCCCTCGGATGTTCCGACAGAATTCTCCATTTCCCCCATTTCCCGAAGCCAAGTGAGCGTTTCTGAGAACGCGTCGCGTCGTGCGAGGGTACACGCTGGGACGTGAGTCCCTGATTTTCGCGTGATTGAGTGATCACGTGGTAATCAATGGTCTCCTCTCATCAGAGTTGGACAGACGATCGATCCTCTGGGCCGGCGACGACGTGTCGCGTGTCGTGGAATCCCGCTAACGGGACCGCGCGTTTTCAAAGAGCGCGCGGCTGCTCTCTCGCGGGTCTTAATAGGGTTCGTTAACTCTCCTCTGCGCCAGCTGCACGTATCGCCGGGTAAACGCGGGACATTACACGCGAGAGCGATAGCTTCTCTCGGGAGCGGCGCGATCTTCTCCGCGCATGAATCAACGAGCTAAATGTTCCTGAAAG